ACCGAGTAATCCATGCTTCAGCGACCCAACCAAATAAACTATTAGATCCTTTCCTAACCTCTCCAGCTGAAACAGTGAATGAAGAATCTGTACTTAATGAGCCCATATCAATAAACTCAGACTGATCCATCCTTATGTTCCTTGTACCATTATCCCACACCCTTAATAGCCATTTCTACACATATTTCCTAGGTTTTTGTTTGTACATACTGGAAAAGTCAAGCTTTTGGAGTGTAGTGTACCTCCTCCTGGGTCACATTTTGTACTTCAACTTTTGGGGATTGCTGGTACTTAAGTCTTGTTATAGGTCTAGAAAGCCAAAATGCGTGGTGAGGATGTGTTTTGAGAACATTCAGCATTGGTTTGTAAGGCATCTGCCTCAGGCGATAATCCAGGCAATGACTCAGACAAAGGCTTTTTAGATACAGCTGGGTTAATCTAACTAGATGGAGGTGGAGGGGCTAATGGTTTTACCGGGGAGGGTGACTTAGCAGACAAAGATGGAATAATCTCTTCAGATGGAAGTAAGAGTGCTGGTTCTGTTAGCAAGAGTGATTCAACAGAATTTGGGGACTCAGTGTCTCCAGCTTCCTGATTATGTGCTCTTATGTCCCCATCCCAAGCTTCAGGATCACATTGCTTCCCAATCAGTGCCCTCACTTTAACTTCAGATACCGCTCTAGGTTGGGAATTAAGTTGGCGTTGTAATTCAGCCACTCTTACGATCAGCCTCTGGGTTTGGTTTTCAGCAGCATCAGCTCTGTTACTGTAAGAAACCAGGCACAAGTGGAAACTTTGAGGTTGTTCTGTGCAGCACTTGAGCTTTCACTCTGAAGCACTGTGCTCTTCTCTTTCTCTTACCACTTTGTCTAGCAAAAGTAGGAGCCACCAAGCAGCTTCCTTATACTTCTCATTATGACAAAATTGTGGAAAGGTATTGAACATGTGATTACACAGAGCCTCACCTTTCTCCAATACCTGATCTACTGGTGGTGAACTTTGTGTGTTTCTATTGCCACCTCACACCATGGATTAGCAGTGTCCTCTTTACTACTGGAAGCAGAGTCATCAACATCTTTAACCAGATTTGAGAACCAATTTAGAAAAGTCATCCTTACAATTTTGTTTCTCCAGAACCACTCTCAGTACCAAATGTCTTAGGCTGAATTCTCTAGAGAAACAAAACCAGTAAAGCATATAAATAGCTATATAGAGAGATTTATATCAAGGAAATAGCTCACACTGGTTGTAGAGGCTGGAATGTCCCAAGTCCATGGGGTCAGGCTGGAAGCTTCTCCTATTCACGTAGCCACAGGGGCTAGCGAACCCAAGATCGGCAGGTCAGACAGCAAGGCTGTCACTCACAGGCTGCAAAGACTGGCAGATTCCCAAATCGGCAGGCAAGACAGCAGGTAAGCTGCTAGCTGAAGTCCCAAGAACTGGAGGTCAGATGAACAGGAGCCAGCTGCAGGTTCCAGAGTCAGCAAAAGCCCACAGGCCTTCCCAGAGTGTCCACCTATATTGGATGCAGGCCACACCCCCTAGGAAACCCACTTTCAACTGATTAGCTACTCACTGCAGATCCCGTTATGGAGGTGATCACATTGTATCGAATTGCATCATGGAAGTGATCACATCATCATACGACTGCTAAACTACATCATAACTGCCAAGCCACTGAAAATCATGGCCCAGCCAAGTTGACACACAACCTTATTACACCACCAAAACAAAAACTGCCCCTTTCCTGCTCCCTCCCACTTACATTAACCATCAGTGATCTTTGCATTTTATATATTTGCTTATTTCATGTAAGCAAGATCATACAGTATCCTATCCTTTTGCAACTGACTTATTTCACTCACCATGATGTTTTCAAGGTTCATCCATGTTGTGGCATGCATCAGGACTTCATTTTTCTTTATAGCTGCATAGTAGTCCATTGTATGTGTACACCGCATTTTGGTTATCCATTCACCTGTTGATGGACATGCTTACAACATGTGTATTACAACCTTTGGGCTACAAGTAGAGCAGTGCTTAGAGGAAAATTTGTAGTCACATATTAATTTTTTTTTAGTTGTACAAACATGAAACCAGTTAATTTCTCTCTAGAGAAGCTTTAAAAACTTGTCTGTTAAATTTTCCGTTACTGTCTATTGACATTTTGGGGAACTCCCATGATTTCTGTATTTTATAACATTCCATCAATACCAGTTCAGTGCTGTCTGAAACTTCATCTGATACCCAGTTTGTGCTCAAGCACGAATCAGGATTCAGAGTAGAACTTGGAGTAAAAGAATGTGTGATCTTACCTTCTTCTCCACATCTTAGTCTTCTGTTACGTCTTCTCTAGTATTGGCCAGGGAGGAGGTATTTGGGAAATTAGACACTAGTCCTTTTTCTTTTTTTGAAAATAAAAATTTGTGTTTTCAAATATTTTTACATTTATACAGTAATTTCAAAGACAGTCCTCGATACCCTTCATCCAGATTCCCTTCCCATATTGTTAATATCTGATATCACCATGGTACATTTGTCGCAACTGGAGAACCAACATTAGTGCATTATTATTAACTAAATTTCACATTTTATTTGGATTTCACTAGTTTTTTCACTAATGTCCTTTTTCAGTTCCAGGATACCCTACATGATACAATATTATATTTAGATGTCATTATCGCCTAATTCTCTTCCCATCTATGATTGTTTCTCACACTATCCTTGTTTTTCATGACTTAGACAGTTTTGAATACTAACGGTAGGGTATTTGGAGAATGTTTCTCCATTTGTGTTTACCTCATGTTTTTCGTAGTTAGACTGGGATTATGGGGTTTTGGGGTTTTTCCACTATATAGTTAAATCTTACCCTCTTTCCATACTCTGTACTTTGTAAATAAGTCATTAAGCATAATGCTCATTCAGGGGGATGAGAGAGTGGGAGTTTGAATACAAATCCTGATAGGGGATAAGTATTTCATGTTAATTCACTAAAAAAGTACTAACCCTAAATGTAAATGTCTGAATCAAAATTCTGGAACTTTTGAATAATCAGGTGTAGGTTGGCATTGAGTCTGAGCTGTGTGGGAAAGAGTTGTGTGGGAAAGAGCTTTCCTGGTAATTCTTAGAGAAATTGCTTATTACGGACTTCTGATTTTATCTGCATCACAGGGGTATGCAAATACATCTGAATGAACATTGTATTTGAGCATAACTGCATGTGATATATTTTATACCATCTAAGATGCATCAACTAAAGAGGAACTGTTATTTTAGGTATAACCAAAGATGGGAGAATGCTGCCTGTTTAACTATGGACATAGGAATTTTGAGATACAGCGTGATTTCAGTGATGGTACCTTGCTTACAAAATAGATTTTATCAGTATGCAAGAGTGCTATCTATATATCCATTATTAAAATGAATATCGTAGGCAGTAAATACTTTTAGATTTTAAGGTAATGTTGCTTAAATTACTGGGAAGATATAATACCCTCTGTTTTTTAATTTTGGGAAAAGTAGCTTGACCTTGAAGAATAACTATAGTTAGAGTAGTGATAAGGGTGGTATGCAGAGTAACTTAGGGAAAGATCGTGGATACATTATTGTTGGGAATGAACCATTAAAGATTGCAAAGGGCCTGGCCAGATTAGAGCATAAAATATGTTAGACCTGTGGAATGGTCACCTAATGTGTGTGTAGTTAGTATAAAACTTCGTTTTCCAAAAAGATGCCTAATCTCTCTTTTATGTGTTGATACCAATACCGTGGGCTTAGGACCATCTGATATTTTTAGGATGATCTGATATTGTTTGCTGGAACGTGGGCAGCAGCAGTTCTTACATAGATAAGAACTTATGTTAAATAGGTACTAAAGGTAGTTTTAAAGTGTCTTAGAACAGGATGAAATTTATGATCAGTGAGGCTCTCATAGTTCATATACGCAATTTATCATGGAAAGCAGAGTTAAGGACTTAACTGGTTTTGGGAAAATGAATGGGAACATTGAAAAGGTGAAATAGAAAATTTGATGGTCAGGTGAGGTTCCCTTTTGAACAACACTCTTATAAACCAAGACACCAGAGCCAGGTTAGAACAGTGAGTCCAATTCAGATGGAAAGATGATTTTTTTCCTGTCAGTCTTTTCCTCTTACGCATTTGTGTCCATATGCATGAATGTCAGAATTAGAGCCATAGTCCGTATGTTTTTAAATATGAGAAAATTAGTACCATTATAAATTTATTTTGGTGTTGATGTGTAGAGTGGAAAAGACGGAGCTGCAACTGGAAACATGTAGATTAAGAGTATCCGTCCATAGTAACCTATATTTGACAGCAGAAGTATCTGGACTCTGGTAAACCTCTCTGGTCTAAACCTGATTCTTACAGATCCCCTGAAAAGCTTCATCCACCAAGTTTTCTTCCCTTGCCTATTTTTTTATTTTCCTGTTCCCAGAATCCAGCCCTATTAAAAATCTTCCATTCTCCATTCACTATTTCCTGTCTTTATTTTCCCTTCTAAGCAGTTATAAAAGTTTTATTTTAAATGTCAAATACATATGTATATGCATTGCCACTCTTTGTTTTTTCACTACAGCAAGTTTTTTTCTCCCCAAAAGAAAGGGAACATAGAGAATATATGCTTGAATTTACTTTCTTGTTGAGAAACAGCCAGAAAACTAGAAGTAATATATATAGTAGGGTATATGTATGTAAAGGAGCCCTGGTGGTACAATGGTTTAAGTGCTTGGCTGCTAACTCAAGGGTTGGCAGTTCTAACCCACCAGCTGCACTGTGCGAGAAAAAGACCTGGCAATGTCCTCCCGTAAAGATTTCAGCCTAGGAAACACTATGAGGCAGTTCTATTCTGTCACATAGGGTCGCTATGAGTTGAAATCAACTCAACAGCATACAACAATAATAACATATGTATGTAAGTCCCATTCAATTAAAAAATGTGCTGTTTCATATGGCATTTTTAATTTTTTTATTTTTAAAAGACTGCCAGCTTGATGACTGCTTAGAGAAGAGCCTGGGAAACCAAGACAAACATTTGTGCCAAGTTTTATTCACCAACAACAAAATACTGACCAGTGAGCAAGAGAAATTGGCAGGAAAGGCACGTAAAGAGGGCATAGACATATTTACTTCAAGAAAAATGCTCTGTACAGATGACACTACAGGACCTACTTACTTGGGTCTCATACCATTGGCCCCACATTGTAATTATTCAAGAAAGAATGATGATGAGTTTAATGTGTATGAAAAATCGCTCCTCAGAATTTGGAATGAGAGATCAAATACTGTAGAGGAATCTTTGGCTTGTTATCAAAATGTGAAAGCCCTCAGTTGGGAGAAGAAACATATTCAGCATCAGACAATTCAGACTTTGGGGCAAACTTTTGAATATAATGAACATGGAAAAGCTTTCCTTGAGAAGGCTGCCCTCATTACACCAATTAGTAACCACACAAAACTAAAACGTTATAATCAGTTTGGTAAAAACCTATGTGATAAATCAACCCTTTCTGTCTCTTGGAGCATTCCCACAGAAGAGAAGAATCACTATGAATTTAATAAAAATGGATGTAGTCAGTATGGGAATAATTTCCATCGGGTTGTTCAACTTCAGAGAACTGACACTGGAGGGAAAACTTGGAACAAAAAATCAGACCTCCAAGAACATCAGAGAACTCACACGGCAGAGAAATTTTGTGTCTATAACAAATGCAATAAGGAAACCTTTAACTGCCAGTTACCTTTAAATGTGTGTCACAGAACTCATATAAGGGAAAACCCCTTATCTAGGAAGTCAACCCTCATTTTACATAAGAAAGCTCACACAGTGGACAAATGCTATGAATGTAATGAATGTGTGACTACTTTTAGCAAGAAGTCAGGACTAACAAAACATCAGAGCACGAACTTGGAGGAGAGATCCTTTGAATGCAATGAATGTGGAAAATCTTTCAAACTGAAGTCTTACCTAAGCAAACATCGGATCACTCACACCAGCGAGAGGCCCTATAAATGTGATCAGTGTGGGAAGTCTTTCATCCGAAAGTCACACTTCAGTGAACATCAGAGAATTCACACAGGGGAAAAACCCTATGAATGTAATGAATGTAGGAAACGTTTCAGATGTAAGTCACTCCTTAGAGAACATCAGAGAATTCACACAGGGGAAAAACCCTATGAGTGTAATGAATGTAGGAAATGTTTCAGGTGTAAGTCACTCCTTAGAGAACATCAGATGACTCACACAAGTGAGAGACCATATATATGTGAAAAATGTGGGAAATCTTTCAAGCTGAAGTCAATCCTCAAACTACATCAGAGAACCCACACAGGAGAGAAACCCTATAAATGTGAACAATGTGGGAAGTGGTTTGGCTCTAAGTCATCTCTTAGAGGACATCAGAGAATTCACACAGGAGAGAGACCTTATAAATGTGATGAATGTGGGAAATGTTTCAAGCTGAAGTCATATCTGGGTGAACATAAGAAAACTCACAGAGGGGAAACACCGAATGAATGTAACATATGTAGGAAAAGTTTCAGGTATAAGTCAATCTTAATAAAACATCAAAGAACTCACACAGGGGAGAGACCCTATAAATGTGATGAATGTAGGAAAGGTTTCAAGTATAATTCACACCTGCGACTACATAAGAGAATTCATATGGCAGAGAGACCATATAAATGTGAAGAATGTGGAAAATCTTTTAGGTGGAAGTCTTGCCTTACCCTACACCAGAGAACTCACAACAGACAGAAACTCTTTGAATGTAAAGAATGTGGGAAAACTTTAAGCTGTAAGTCAGCCCTCACCCAACATCATAGAATACACACAGGGGAGAAACCTTATGAGTGTAATGAATGTGGGAAAGCTTTCCGCTGTAAATCAGACCTGAGATTACATCAGATAACACACACAGGTGAGAAACCCTATGAATGTAATGAGTGTGGGAAAGCTTTCTACCGAAATTCATACCTTAGAGCTCATCAGAGAAATCACAGGGAGAGACCATATGAATGTGATGAATGTGGGAAAGTTTTCAGCTGGAAGTCAGATTTCAGAGAACATCAGAAAACACATGCAGTGGAAAAACCTTACAATGTAAGCCATGTGGGAAGTATTTCAGGTGTAAGCCAACCCTAATTCTAATTGCACTCACAAGTGAGAAACCCTTTGAATGTGGCGAATTAAGAAAACTTTTAGCAAGAATCAGCACTAAGACAATCTCACAGAACAGAAATCTTCCCACCAGAAGTCAACCTTCGACTTGCACATCGGTAATTCCCATATGACATGTACTGATTAATTTGATACCAATAACTATTTCCTCTTCTCCCTAAGCTAACAATTTTTCTAAATTTCCCACTCTTTCATCCAAGAGATGTCTTGTCACTTACATCTGACTAGTAGAATGTGTGCTTAGTGAAAAGTCCTGTAAGCAACATCCTTCAAAATCCTGCATATTCTGTGTTCTTCCTCATCAAAATGGGATGGAAATGACTCCCAGGGAGACCATGGGACTCATGAACACAAGATTAAAGCACACAAGATGGAACAAGAGTCCATCTTGTCCATCCAAGATGGAACAGGGTCCAAGAGTGAGGAAAAAAGAGTGTCCTCCGTGTATACTGTTTGTGTTTTGGTGTCATGGAAATAAAACTGTTCTCTGCTGAGCTCTTTCAGGTTTGGCTCTATATGTTACATAGTCATCTTTCAGTTAATACAGCCTATGCATATGACTTCTGTTTGAAGTGTACACTCAGTGTAATATCAGAAAAATTACAAGTGAGAGGGCCCTGACAATATCCTCAGTGAGTATAAGCTCTTATTCACAATTCATTATTATTCAGATTTAAATACCTTCAAGTCCAACATTTCAACAGATAAGGAAAACGTTTACCAAGAACTGTGTCACTGAATAGCAGATAAGTATAAATGTTTTGGATGTGTTAAAGTTGAACAAACCATCAAACTTAGTCTCTCAATGATTGTTCTGAGGGGAATTATCGATTTTGGAAATGTAAGGAAAAGCCTTTAAGAGATTGTTATGTCAGAACTCTATTTTATATGGATAAAGACAATGTCATGAACCAGATCAGCGTTAAGACCGGTTCCTGTGAGGCAGAGGTCAAATATATTTCCACCTTTACACTTCTGCATTATTACACTTTCTATTTCTCTGCAGGGTTCAGTAATCCGCTGCAAGGGTCACAACTCAGACTATATTTACAGTTACGTGGATTATTAGGATAACGATGCAGCTGTAACAGGATACAATTCTGGATGCAACTCAGGATAAACATCAGGAAACTCAGGATACAACTCAGGGAGAGGTATATGAGCCAGGTCTGGGAAGGTTGAAGAAAAGAATGTGTCTCTCCCTTTGTCAACCAGGGCAGCTTCAGATAAGGTTTCTGCTGGAACAAGTCTTCCTCAAGCCAACTCTTGGCCAGTTTTCCTCTGGATCAGGACTCCTCTGCTCTCAGGTTCCAGGGTTTTTATAACCTAGCTCATGTACTCCTTGTCAGTTACAAGGTAGGCTCCCTAGTATAGCTGGGTAAAGGCCAGCTACTGGGTGGAGCTCCTTCAGCCAATCCAGGTAAAGGTCAGCTACAGGGTGGGGCTCCCCAGCCAATCCATGTAAAAGTCAGACTGGATGGAGCCCCCTCTGCCAATCCTGGTAAAAGTGACCTGTTGGGCGAGGCTCCCCAGCCAATCTGTGTAAAGGTCAGACTGGGCACCCCCCACCCCAGCCAATCATGGTAAAGCTCAGTGTGGGTGGGACCCTAAGCCTAATCCAGGTGGTTTATCTGGCAGGGCTCAGGAACCAGGACCAAAGGCCAAACTGAAGGTGATTCCACACCATGGAATATGTAATATCAAAGATTTAATAACATATAACAAAACATTCATAGACATTTCCTGGGTGAAGCTTTTGAATAATCAGAAGTAAATTGAATAATCAGAACTAGAACATTGTGAATATTCTCTGAGCTCAGTAGTGTTTGTCTGTGTGCATACCACTTGACAGCTGTTTGCTTGCTGTGTTTTGGAGTCCACATCATTGTAGTAAGGATTATGTACTGTCTTGAGATTCTCTGGAGAAACAGAACCAGTGAGATAGATAAACAGAAAAATAAGCTTACTTCAAGGGATTGGCTCACACAATTGTGAGGACTGGCAAGTCTAAAATCCATTGGTCAGGTGGCACACTGGAAACTCCTGCTGGCTCATGGGATTGTGGGGGCCTGGCATTTCCAAAATCTGTAGGTCAGTTGGCAGGCTGGAGACTTCTGCAGCCTTGCATCCCAAGATCCGTAGGTCAGGTGGGAGGAGAAAGTCTGCCTCAGACAGCCCAACAGCTACAGTTCCCCTGTTCCTCATCACCCCCTGCTAGTATCTTGAAGGTTTCGGGAACCACTTTCCCCCCTCCCCAAAGTCTGATGTTCTATCCAGTAACTAGCGGGGCTAAAAAGATGCAATTCTGAGTTGGTGCACAAATGTCTGTCATGGATTGAATTATGCCCCCCAAAAAATGTGTGTATTAATTTGGCTGGGCCATGATTCTTGGTATTGTGTGATTTTCCTGTATGTTGTAAATCCTGCCTCTATGATGTTAATGAGGGAGGATGGGTGGCAGTTGTGTTATTGAGGCAGGACTCTATCTACAAGATATTGTATCCTGAGGGAATCTCTTGAGATATAAAAGAGAGGAGTGAGCAGAGAGACATGGGGACCTCACATTATCAAGAAAGCAGTGCCAGGAGCAGAGCGCGTCCTTTGGACTGGGGTCCCTGTGCAGAGAAGCTCCTAGTCGGGGGGGAACATTGATGAGAAGGCCGACAGAGAAAGCGTTCCCCTGGAGCTGACACCCTGTATTTGGACTTCTAGCCTACTTTACTGTAAGGAAATAAACTTCTCTTTGTTAAAACCATCCACTTGTGGTATTTCTGTTATAACAGCACTAGATTACTAAGACACTAACCATACCCCTTCTTTGGATGGTCAGGTCAGAAATATGTATTGTACTCTAAGCGGTGAGTTATGTAGCCCCTGGAATATAAAACCAGGTTGGGGGCAGATTTCCTTGGCCCTTGCTGTCTTAGTTCTTTAGTGCTGCTATAACAAATACCACAAGTGGGTGGCTTTATCGAACAGAACTTTATCTTCTCACAGGAGGCTAGAAGTCTCAATTCAGGGCACTGGCTTTAGGGAAGTGCTTTCTCTATTGGCTCTAGGGGAAGGTCCTTGTCTCTTTTGAACTTCTGTTCCTTGGTTTCTTGGCAATCTTTGTGTGGTATGGTATCTATCTTCCTCTATATGTAATGCTTGTTTCTGTGTCTTATCTGCTGCTTTTATATCTCAAAATTAATTGGCTTAAGAAAAACCCTATATTGATACAGCTTCATTAACATAACAAAGAAAACCCTATCCCTAAATAGGATTAATCCACAAGTATAGGGGTTAAGATTTACAACACATATTTTAGGGGGACACAATCCAACCCACAACACCTACAGTGCAAAGTGGAAGTATGCGTAGAACATTATCACTCTCCTGAACAACCGGGTGGGGGTGGGGTCTCACTATCCAACTGCTTCTTTTGTTTGCTGTTTTCAGTAATTGAACAGCTTTCATTTGCTAACACTTTGTGTCTCCTGTATATGACTTGATCAGACTAGATGGACGTAACGCCCATGGAGTGGTTGATGCTACTTGTTGGGATCTTCATCCTAGTAGTCTTGTGGCAACTTGGGATCCAGAGACAGCCTTTAAGGCAACTTTCATATGTAATGCAGAAACTGGCGCAGCAAGCAGGGTCTTATCAGGTCGAATGGTGGCATCTTGGAAATGTAAGGACAGAAATCCACCAGTCTTTGTCCCAGGGCGGAGATGTCAGCTCAGGTAAAAAAAAGTTGTAGATCCATTTGGAGAAGTTGTTTGGAAGACACAGGGTGTCTTATTTATTTAGTCCTGCTATAACAGAAATACCACAAGTGAATGGCTTTAACAAACAGAAATTTATTTTCTTACAGTTTAGGAGGCTAGAAGTCCGAATTCAGGGCACTGGATCTAGGGGAAGGCTTTCTCTCTATGTCGACTCTGGGGGAAGGTCCTTGTCTCTTCAGCTTCTGTTTCCTGGTTCCTTGGAAATCTCCGTGTGGCTTGACACTTATCTTCCCCCATCTCTGCTTGCTTAGTCTGCTCCTTTTGTCTCTTGTAAGAGATTTACTCAAGACACCCTACACTAATCCTGCTTCAGAGACAGTCCATTTCCAAATGGGATTATAGCCACAGGCATAGAAATAGGATTACAACACATATTTTTGGAGGACACAATTCAATCCATAACACTCTACCCTTTGGCCCCCCAAAATTCATGTCCTTGCCACATGCAAAACACACTCACCCTATCACATCATCCCAAAAGTCTTAAATCAACTCCAAGTCCAAAATGTCATCTTCTGAATCATCTAAATCAAATATGGGTGAGACTTTAGGTGTATTCTATCTGGGGGCAAAATTCCTTTTCACATGTGAACTGTGAAATCTAGACTACAAGTTAGCTGTTTTCCAAAGAACAGTGGTGGAACAGGCACAACCTAGACATTTCCATTACACGTGGGAGAAAATGGAGAGAGAAGGGAAAATGGGCACCAAGCAAGTTCAAAACCCAACATAACAATTTACATTAAGGCTTGAAAATAATCCTCTGTTCTTTGGAACCATCTGGGCAAGGGCCACGCCCTCGAAACTCTGGGTGTTGGCAATGATCTCTGGATTCTGGGTGGAGACCCCTCGGCCCTGGGCTTCAGCCTCACTTTCCAGGCCTACTGGGATGGCAACTCTGCTCCCTTGGCTTTGGGCCACCCCATTCTCCTAGCCCATCCGAGTGATGACCCTATTCCCTTAGCCCGAGCAGGCCCTGTTCTTGTACTCCTTGGGCATGGCAGCCCCACCCTCACAACTTTGGGCAGCGGCCCCATCCCCCTAGTAAACATTAATGGCAGCCCCACACTCCAAAACTGAGTTGGTGAAAATCTGTCTCTTCGAAACCTAGGAGGCTGTGGCCCCACACTTTGAAACCCAGCAGGCCATTGCCTCCCCCTTTGAAACCATGGCAGCCCTTCTTCCCATGCTCTCTCCAACAGTTCTACTGATCTCCAAGTTGCTCCAGGGATTTTCCTTTTCTTTTCTTGGAGGACAACAGATGTAGCTCCTTTGGCCTGTTTTCCTGCCTGTAAAATTCTAAGAGGCAGGCAGCTTTCTTTTCTTTCATCCTCTCTCTATCCCCTTCAGTCTAAGCTGATGGGTTTTCTGCTGTGGTGGTCACAGGCTTAATTTCTAACAAAAGATTGTGTAGCCATGTCTTTGGTGAAAATTCTGGAACACGTGTCCTTAGTTTGTACAACAGAATTTTCAAGGTCTTTAAGTTTTGTTTTCGTTTTACACAGTTCATTTTTAAGTCCATCTCTTTCCTGTTGCATTTTACTATTAGAGGCAAGTATAAACCTTGTGGCCCCCTTAAGATCTTGCTTAGAAATCTCAGCCAAATACCCAAGTTCATCACTTAAAAGTTCTACCTTCCACCAAACATTTGTACACAATTCAAGGGAGTTCTTTGC